ACGTCCATCACCTCACATAGTCACACATTTTTTTTTTCCTGTGTTGAGAACTTTTACGATCTACTCTTTGAGCAACTTTCAAATATACAATACAATGTTATTAACTATAGTCACCATGATATATGTTACACCCCCAGAACTTATTTATCTTATAACTGGAAGTTTGTACCTTTTGACCACCTGCACCCATTTCTCCCCCCTCCCCCAGCTCTGGCAACCACCAAACTGTTTTCTGTTTCTGTGAGTTTGGATTTTTAAGATTCCATGTATAGGGACTTCCCTGGTGGCACAGTGGTTAAGAGTCCACCTGCCAATGCAGGGGACACGGGTTCGAGCTCTGGTCCGGGAAGATCCCACGTGCCATGGAGCAACTAAGCCCGTGCACCACAACTACTGAGGCCTGTGCTCTAGAGCCTGTGAGCCACAACTACTGAGCCCACGTGCCACAACTACTGAAGCCTGTGTGCCTAGAGCCCGTGCTCTGCAACAAGAGAAGCCACCACAGTGAGGAGCCCATGCACTGCAGCAAAGACCCAATGCAGCCAAAAATAAATAAATAAATAAATTAATTAATAATAAAAAAAGATTCCATGTATAAGTGAGATCATATAGTATTTGGCTTTCTTTGACTTATTTCATCTAGCATAATGCCCTTAAGGTCCATCCATGTTGTTGCAAATGGCATAATTTCCTTCTTTTTTACGGGTGAATAATATTCCACTATATTTTTACATACCACATTTTCTTTATCCATTTGTTGATGGACACTTAGGTTGTTTCCAGGTTTTGGTTATTGTAAATAATGCTGCAATGAGCATGGGGGTGCAGATATCTTTTTGAGATAGTGATTTCATTTCTTTGGATATATCCCCAGAAGTGGGATTGCTGGATCATACGGAAGTTCTATTTTTAACTTTTTGAGGAACCTCCATGCTGTTTTCCATAGTGGCTGCACCAATTTGTATTCCTACCAACAGCGCTTAAGGCTGCCCTTTTCCTGACATCCGCACCAATACTTGTTATCACTTGTCTCTTTGATGATGGCCATTGTTGACAGGTGTGAAGTGATATCTCATGGTTTTGATTTGCATTTCCCTGATGATTAGTGACGTTGAGCATCTTTTCATGTATCTGTTAGTCATTTGTACTTCTTCTTTGGAAAAACGTTTATTCGGTTCCTCTGCCCATTTTAAAATCAGTTTGGGTTTTTGCTATTGAGTTGTATGGATTCTTTATATGTTGCGGAAATTAACCCCTTGTCAGATACATTATTTGCAAATACCTTCTCCCATTCCGTAGGTTGCCTTTTCATTTTGTTGATGGTTTCCTTTGCTGTTCAGTGTACTTCCTTTTTAAATCTGCAGGGTTTGCCCAAAGGACCTGGCACAGGACTGGGTGCTTTGCAGTTGCCCCTTGAATATTTGCTGATTGATGCTGAAGCTGAGAAAGCTTCCACTCCCCCTGTTCTCTTGCCAGGAGAACTCCCATGAGCGAGGAGGTTGCTGGGGAGGGAAGATGGACATGACTGGCCTGGCCACTCGTCCTGGAAACCAGGACCAGAAAGCACAGTCTTGGTCTCCAGTCCTGGACTTTCTCATCTTCAAACGCAAATCATCAAACTGTCACCTACTAATTGCTAAGCTCGGATGAGGATTAGCTTTTGGATCTGGGCTGGGGACAAATGTGTTTGCTACTCATTTCATTTGATAAGGCAGGCCCTCTCTCCCACCACTTCACCCCAGCAACAGGAGGCGAACGTGTTCAGTTTCTCTAGGAGCCTGATGGAAGTCTTGGGAAACCTTGGCCTAACACACTGATTTTCTTCTCTCTCCACGTTTTTCTTGGTCTTGCTGCAATTCCATGCACGCTGGGTAAGACTTACAAGCAAATGCAAGCACTGCCTTTTGTAACAGCACAGTAAACCCACAACAGTGGAGTTTCCCACAGCTACTGATTATGTGTAAAATACTTTTTTGTGGGGAGGGATGTTCTCCTTAAGGCAACAGTTGTCAAGTCCATTTTCACCTCTGAACTCCCACTGCACCTACCTGTGTATCTCTTGTCAGCACCATTTTCCAGCTTAGTGACATCTACCATTTATTGAATTCTGACCATGCACCTTATTTCATTCAATGTTCACAGCAAATCTGTTCAGTGGATGCTGTAATAGAGTTCATTTTACAGAAAACTGAAGCTTAGAAAGTATAAATAACGAAGGTCACACAACTCTGTATGGTAGAAACTTCCACATACTGCCTATTAGGGACTGAGATGAAACAAATAAAGCAGCTTCTGTAGGTTGGAAGAATGATCAGTAGAGGGAGAGCTGAGCGGGGACCCATGTAATAGTGATAGTTGTGTGTGAGTGAGGCGGGGGCAATTCTGTTCATTTTGAGGGCATCTGACTTTAGCACAGAAGTGGCCCAGTCAATCCCCATTTGATTGTCATTCCACTCATTCATTCATCTACTTTTGGAGCAATAGGTATAGGAAACCAAATAAGATATGGTTCCTGCCATCAAGGATCTTCATTCTACTGCGGGAAATAGCTCCACAGAGATTTAGAGCACGTGATATTAGATTTAATGAAGGATCCTATGGTGGGAAATGAGAGAGGAGGTAGGTCAGGGAAGGCTTCTTGGAGGGGTTGACACCTGAATCAAGATTTTAGGCATGAGCTGGATTTAACTAGATTGTGGGAGAGGGTACAGTGAAAGCTGGGACAACCTGAAAAGTGGCACAGAAGGGGAGAGGTGACTTGATGTGTACGAGGAGTTAAGGGGTTTGGCCTTTTGCTAGAAGATCAGGGATAGGCAGTGGGAGAGAGGCTGGCGGGAAGGCAGGGCCCGGTCACACCTGGACTATACCCTCCTGGGAGTAGGTGGTCAGGGAGGGTCGCTCGCAGGGGAGCGAGGTGGTTGGCTTTCTTGTGGCTGTGCTGTTGAGGGTGGATTTGCCAGGGTAGAGACCAGTCAGGGAAGGAGAGGATGCAAAGTTCTAGGGAGAGACGGAAGGACCTGAAACAGGGCAGGAGCTAGTGGTGAAGGAGAGGAAGGCATGGGTTTGAGAAAGATTGAGGAGGTAAAGTCAGAAACGCACAATGATTTCTCAGAGGAGGAGCTGAGCGAGGGAGAGGGGGAGCAGCTGAGACATGCTGGGGTGTCCCCAGTGAGTCTGGGAACACAGAGCGGGAGGCGCTGCTTTCGCGGACGCTGTGATTTCGGCGTTGGGTGTGTTGAGGGTCACGCGTGCACTGGCCGTCTCTGTTCCTGGGTTTCCAGGGCGTGTGCTCCCTGCCATGCCCTCTGTGACGTGCCGCTGCTCTTTACCCGTAGCCCTGGGGACGGCCTCTTGCTCTCTGATTTGGGTGCTGTCTTCTGCACTGGGGTTCTCTGCTGTGGTCTGCAGCTGTGAGGACAGGAGAGAGCGTAAGTTCTTCCTGGAGAGAAGAGTCACCTGTGGATGGATTAGGATATGAATGAAGGTAGATCTGCCTTTGGGGGGAAATAGGGACACTGGCTTCCTCCTTCTGGGTCTTCTCCCTTAGCTGGGGGCGGGGGTACCTTAAGATCCCCTCTTTATCTGGTTGACTCCATTCATCCTCCACATTCTGGCTCCGGTGTCCTCTCCCTGGGAAGCCCTCCCTGACTAGAGTGACTCCCCGATTAAGCATGTTCAGGGCTCTGTGAACCTCTCCTTTGTGTCGCATCCCAGTTGCAATTTTACTCTGTGATATTTTGATTCAGCCAATTAAATGGCAGCCGGTAAGCCCCATGCAGGCAGAGACTGTGCTAATGTTTGCTCACCATCGTATTCCCTGTGCTAACGTTTGCTCACCATCGTATTCCCTGTGCTAACGTTTGCTCACCATCGTATTCCCTGTGCTAACGTTTGCTCACCATCTTATTCCCAGGAACTTCTGGCACTTACGAGGTGCTCTAGGGCAGCCAGGCAGTAGGGGTCTCAGTCAAGGTCCTGGCAGGAAACAGGGGGCACTTTCTGAAAAGGAACTGAAAAGACTCTAATGAAGGGACTATTTATAAAGGAGTGAAAGGATTAAGGGAGCAGTCCAGGGACTAGCCATGGTGGGAGGCTGTTACCACTTGTTAGGGGTTGAAGTATGTCCCCCAAGGAGAGATATATATATTTCCTTTTTTATGGCTGCGTCAAATTGTTGAGGCATGCGGGATCTTTTGTTGCAGCGCGTGGTCTCTTCGTTGTGGTGCTCAGGCTTCTCTCTAGTTGTGGTGTACGGGTTTTTTCTCTCTCTAGTTGTGGCGCACGGGCTCCAGGCCACGTGGGCTCTGTAGTTTGTGGCACGCGGGCTCTCTCATTGAAGTGAGCGAGCTCAGTAGTTGCGGCACAAGGGCTTAGTTGTCCTGGGGCATGTGGGATCTTAGCTCCCCGACCAGAGATTGAACCCACGTCCCTGCATTGGAAGGCGGATTCTTTACCACTGAACCACCCAGGAAGTCCCTATATTTCTTAATTAATTTAGGCTGCACTCGGTCTTCGTCGTGGCACGTGGGATCTTCGTTGTGGCATGTGGGATCTTTAGTTGCGGCATGCGGGCTTCTTAGTTGCAGCATGTGGGATCTAGTTCCCCGACCAGGGATCGAACCTGGGCCCCCTGGCATTGGCAGCATGGAGTCTTACCCACTGGACCACCAGGGAAGTCCCCAAGGAGACGTTTTGAAGTCCTAACTCCGTTTTTGTGAATGTGATCTTATTTGGAAATAGGGTCTTTGCAGATGTATTCAAGGTAAGATGAGGTCATTAGGGTGGGTCCTCATCCAATCTGACTGGTGTCATTATAAGAGGAGACATAGGCAGAGACACACAGGGAGAAGACAGCTGTGTGGTGATGGAGACAGAGATTGGAGTGATGCACCTATAAGCCAGGGAACACCAAAGATTGTTGGCCATCACCAGAAGCTAGAAGAGGCAAGGAAGTTTCCCCTACATGTTTCAGAGGGAGCATGGGCTTGCTTACACCTTGATTTCAGACTTCTAGCTTCCAGGACTGTGAAGCGATACATTTCCGTTGGATTCAGCCGCCTAGTTTGTGGTACTTTGTTACAGCAGCTCTGGAAAATTCATACACCACTTCCGGTCCTGAAGGGACAAGGGAAAGAAATGAGCCATTTGCAATGATCTGCAGCAGAAGGGCCACCTGCCAGGAGCTATGGCCCAGGTAGAAGAACGCAACTACTGCAAACCCTGGCCGAGCAGGGAGGGAACAGGGGAATAAAGGCCTTGACCTCTCACCTCTCCCACTTTCTAATTTCCATGTCCTGCTCCCGTCAGCCTAACCCATCTGGCAGCCAGAGGGCAAGGAATCTTGATGATGTGGTCTGTAGAAGTCAGCCTCCTAGACACAGAGCAGAGAGGCTGGGGAGAGTGATCTGGAGGGCAGGGAGAGGAGGTCTCATAGAGGAAGTAAATAAAGTATTGAATGAATGAATGAATGAGTGAATGAATGAGTGGGAGCATGATGGAGACAGAACTGCAAGTTAATTCGCATTTCTAGTTTGGGAGCAGATGACTTTGTGGCACTGCCCTGTCTCCATCACTAGGCGAGAAGAGAGGAGTCATAGGATTTTCACAGTTAGGACTTTTGAGGTCGAGCTTGCAGCCCTGCCCTCTGGCTTAGCACCCAGGTTTTGAGGCTTGAGAAGCCTCCCTCTTTGTTTGTTCAGTCAGAACCTTTAGGCTGGATTCTATTTTAAGGCTCTAAGTGAGGTCATTTGGTACAACTACAGAAACACAGCTGTAATTATGAAGTGCCAGCCTCCGAAGCAGAAATGTCGTCGGCCCTCAAGGGTTGCCAACATGAGTGGCTCAGTCGTACATGCAGGCTTGCGCCAGGCCGGCCAGGCCGTCCCCCTGCAACGTGCACCGAGCAAAAGGAACACTGGGGTAATTCAGCTCCTGTGTTGACCTGGGCCCTCAATAGCCAGGTGCTGCCGGCTCTGCCAGCTGGAGCAGTGATACAGGGGAGTCAAGGTGGCCCACCGACTGATGGGCCAATCGAACAAAATGGGCCAGACCTCTCCTCTGGTGGAAATACCGTCAAGACCAGGCTGTACTGGCACAGCCTCTGGAGCTGGGTTTACGTGTCACTAAAACATCTGCAGTGTGATCGGGTCATCTACTTGGCTTTGTATAGACCTGATGACTGCCTCATCTCCATCCTCCATCAGGTAGCTTGACTTGCCCAGCCCAGGATCTTTTTCTTTCTCAGATTAAAAATAGCCAATTATACCCTTTGCTTCTAGGGGTTTTTGTTTGTTTGTTTGTTTGTTTTTGAGGGAGGTTGCTAAAACAGAGACATGGCACGAGTAGAGATTTGGATGGAACAGGTTCTCGGTGTTCCCATCCATTGCTCGGGTTTTCTGACTATGCTAAGAACGCTGTGAATTCCTCTCAGAATTTTCCCAGATGACAAGCATTCACTGGTGTCCACCATGTTCAAGCCACTCTGGGGAAAACATACGCAGTGGCTCCGCCCTCTGACAGGTGACTACTGTTTCCTTTTTTAGCAACCAAACAGTTTCTGTAGGAGCTGAACCAGAAGGGCACCTCAGCGCAGATGCCGAGACTCCTCATCTACTTAACACATATAAGGCAGGCGGGAGACCTCGAGAGGAGAGGCAAGATGAGTTCTTTGAGAAGCCTCTTTCGGTGTGAAACACTCTGGGGAGAAGGTGGTCTAATTTGCACAGGGAGTCCCAGGGTATTCGGTGAGGGAAGGACTGGATATTAACTCTATTAGTCAGGATTTGCAAGGTTACGCTGCTTTAACAAATAACCCAAAACTTTCAGTGGCTCACAACAACAATAATACAGGTTTGTTTCTTACTCATGCGACATATGCATCCTGAGCTGGCCATGGCTTTACTCCATGTTGTCTTTGTCCTGGGATCCTGGATAGTGGAGCAGCTTCTATATGAAGCACTGTTTGGTCTTCATAGCAGAGGGAAAAAGATTCATGTAAACCACACTCTGGTTCTTACAGTTTCTGCTCCAAAGTGACACACGTCCCATATTTCAATTCCTCCCACATTTATCAGTAAATGGCTAAAACAAGTCAGGGGGCAATTCCTGAGTTCAGCAGGGCAGGGATGTATAATTCTCCATAGGATGGAAAAATGGAATATGTGGTGAACATTAATACAACCTGCCATATTTATTTGCACCTTCCTCCTGAGGTTCATAATTAGGGAGATGGGGGTATAGCTCAGGGGCAGAGCATGTGACTGCAGAATTAGGGAGATCGATTATTGTTGGCACCAGGCAGCTCTGATCATGGCCAGTTGCAGAGATGGGCAAGTGGATTCCCAAAATGAAGTTACCAGGAAGTTAGAGAGAGAGAGAGAGAGAGAGAGAAAATCTGATGGGTCCACCTGAGTGAGGCTGGAGAGAAGGGGGTAATGGTTCTGGGTCCACGAGGTGCTTGCTGGTACCCATCCTGACCCAGTTCTCCAGGGTTTGGCTCACCCTGAGAAACAGCTAAAGGAATCCTTGGGAGAGGAGCTCAGATTTTTGGTGTAGTTTTCTTTTTTCCCACAGTTTTATTGAGAAATAATTGTCATATATCACTGTGTAAGTTTAAGGTGTACAGCATGATTGTTTGACTAATATATATTGTGAAATGATTACCACAATAGGTTTAGTTAGCATTCATCATCTCATATAGATACAATAAAAAAAAGAAAAAAAAAAGAATTCTCCTTGTGATGAGAACCCTTAGGATCTACTCTCTTACCAACTTTTCTATATATCATACAGCAGTGTTAACCATAGTCGTCATGTTGTACATTCCATCCCTAGTACTTATTTTATAACTGATACTTTGTTATCTTCTGACCACCTTCCTCCAACTCTCCCTCTCCCTGGTGTAGTTTCTTGACTGAGCATAGGCCAGAGGGTGGCTTCCAAGGGACACTTTGCTTATCCTGACTTTATACCCAGGGAAGTAAAACTTTTCTCCAGCCACCAGCCTGCCACTGCTGTTGGCACAGCTGGAGAAGACTAAATAAGATTTGACCCCTTCCCAAGGCTTCTCAGTTCCTTTGCATTTTCTCCCTCTATCCCCTACCTACGTACTAATCAGGAGTCAGATATCTTTGGATATAAAGAGGCAAAGGATTTGGGGTTTTGAAAAATTCAGACTGGATTTCTAGCTACTACCAACTCTGGAACCTGGTTGAGGCTATTTGTACTACAAACTGTGAAGAGGGACATCTGTTACATAAAAATGTATACGTCACAGTTCCTCCAAGAATTATGACCTAGAAGGCAAGACATAGAATTTAGAAAAAAACTCACAATCAAGGCAATATTTGCTAAGAACAACAGGTATTAAATGTAAGAGACAAATAAGCCTTAGTATGCTAATCCACTGAGATGTTGGGAACGTTTGTTATAGCTAGACTGTAACATGACTAATGTAGTATGTGTGTATGTGTGTGTGTGTGTGTGTGTGTGTGTGTGTGTGTGTTGTGGAGAGGTAGGAATAGACGTCAGAGATCCAGAAGGAGTTTCTCAGAATGGAAAGTTCTGTGGGGTGGGCATCTTAGCTGCTCTTTGACTCGATTCCATAGAAGGAGAAGATAGTGCTGAGACTTTATGGAAGAAGTGGTCAGTGTCTCTGCAAGTTAAATCCCATCTTCTCCCCTAAACTCTCGCCTGGAAGGGATTTGATGAAGTGGATGTGAAAGTACACTATGAAGCTGTAACTTACAGTAAGTGGCCCATCAGACCAGCCCCTCAGAGCCAGTGGGTGGCCAGGAAGCCAGGAGAAATAGCCGGGGAGGAGTCTAGTTTCCTGATCTCGGCAGGCTTCAGGAAGAGAGGCTAGTTATGCAGGGAATTTCCTGCCTTCGAAGTCCTTCATGCCAATAACCACAGTTTAGCAAATTCACCTCCTGGCTACTTTTGGGAATTTTCAAAAAATACCTCAGAAGCCCTTTTAGGTTTGTCCTTAAAATCCAAACCCATTTCAGGACTGGTTCTGAACCAGATTTTGGTAGAAAAAAACAACAAAACCTGACAATTAGTTTATTTCATCAGCTCTCAAAATGGAAGAAACTCTTTTATCTTTTCTTCTTTATTTGGAAATTCTGGGGTGGGGGGAGAATTTGTTCTTGAAAGAATAAGAGGTGGGTGGAGGGCGGGGAGAGGTTAGAAAAATACCTTGGTTTCTGGATGGCGCCGTCAGAGCTAGAGCCGGCCAGGGGCTAGGATAATGCTGGTTGGGGTGGGATGAGGCTGTCGGCAGCGATTATACACAGTATTGTCACTTTAAGAAAAGGGGGAGGCCAGTCTAGGGAAAGGAAGGAGGAGTCAAGTAACAGACAGGCACCACCCCTGCCTGTTTTGAGGATGAGAGACATGTGAGCTCAGGGGCCTGGACCCGATCATTAGGATCCCAGGGAACTGTTTTGCTTCCTATCTTAGAAAAGCAAAGTGGGTGGGAGGTGAGAGGTATGTGTCTTGATTTGAAGGAGCTGGGAAAACAGTGATGTATTAGGTCAGCTGGTGCAGATGAAGTATTCCTGGGGTACACGCTGGGTAATTTGAGGGACAAGCAGTGCTTAAAGGGGAGATGGGGGATCTGAAAGCTTTCGTAAAAGCTGTTTAGTTGTGACATCTACACCTGGTTGTCCTCTTCCCTTTTCTCATGAACCCCTAAAGAGTGGCGATCAGTAGAGAAATGGAACTAATTAGGAAGAGAAGAGGAGAGGTGTGGAAGAACGGAGAGATCAAGGTCTGAGCTAGGAGGTATGAGAGAAGCCCAAGAGGGAATGAGATGCAATTTGTGTCTCCTCCCCCGCCCCTCCCGCCCCCCCCCACGCCCCCGCCACCTCCCACCACCCTTTCTGTGGTATGTTCTGTCCCAGGAATGTGTGAGGAGGGAGGACTTCACTGGTAGGTACCCAGGCTGGATGTTAACACAGTAATGATTCAGACCATTAGCAGTTTGTGTCTTTGTGGTTCAATCAATATTTGTTGAATAAACCTTAAGGCAAAGTGGTTATTTCTTATGTGTATCATCCAAATGATTGTTCCCAATCTTCTTTTCTTTCTCTCTCTCTCTTTTTTTTTTTTTTTTTTTTTGCCCATGCTACGTGGCTAGCGGGATCTTAGTTCCCGACCAGGGATTAAGCCCCAGGGCCACGGTAATGAGAGCACCAAGTCCTAACCACTGGACTGCCAGAGAAATCCCCCCCCCTCCCCAATCTTTTCTTTGTATGGGCAAGAAAGACCCCTTCTGTGGTTAAATGGATGCCTGACTTTGTGCTGGAGTTTCAGTGTGCACTGCAGTTAGACTCACAAGGTGTAGTATGGACATGTTTAAAGCTAGTGTTAGACAAAATAAACAGCAGAAGGAAGAAGAATGAGTGGTGGGAATTCACTGAAGGGTCCAGCAGCTCCATCTGCCAGAAATGCTTTGGAGACCCAGTTCACATTCCCGCTGTAAGCCTTGCCACATACCTCAAGGGAGAAACTGCTGTCGTTTTCTGTGGAAGACAGGAGAGCTGGCTGAAGTAGACACCTACTTACATCTCACCGTGGCAGCTGGCCCCTCTCAACTAGCCTCCAGTGGGCAGAACAAGAGAGCATCTTTCCTTCGTGCATAGATGTCATCTGGTGAAGAGAAATGGGTGTGTTTCTGGTACTTGAATAAGACCTGTTGTCTTCGTTGGTGAACTCGTAGGTGCAGGAGTCACGTCTCTGCTTATGAGGAAACAACCACTCTCTGTTCTGCAATTCAGAGCAGACACTGTCATAACCCATGTGCGTGTAGGTGCTCCACAGCAGCTCTTAGAGAAGAGGCCGAGTTAGAGGACCTCAGGGCTGAAAGGACCGTCAAGGTCAGCTGGTGCCTCTTCCTCTCTCATCCTGCTGTGACCCATGGAGGGTGACTCTTGTTAAAGTTCATTTGAATGGAGAATTAAAATAGGCACGTGAGACTAGTTAATTAAAATCACATTGAACATAGTAGCCCCACACTGAAAACAGTGCAAATATCCATCAGTAGGAGAATGGATAAACAAAATGTGGTATGCTCATACAATGGAATACTGTCCAGAAATAAAAAGAACAAATTACTGATACATCATGGATGAACCTAAAACACATTACCATATTGAGCAAAAGAATACAAGGTTGATAAGAGGTTCAAGAATAGGCAAACTATTCTACGGTGACAGAAGAAAAAAAAAAAAAGGCGTTTACTTCTTGGGGTCAGGGTGGCTATTGAATCAGGCATGGAAGAACTTTCTGGAATGATGGAAGTGTTTTATATTTTTATCCAGATGCATGCTGCATGTGTGTGTGTGTGTATGTGTGTGTCGTTGAGCTGTATACTTAAGGTCTGTACATTTTACTGAATGTAAATTATGCCAGGAAAAAAAAAAAAACCCCAAACAATACAGAATGGGAACTATGTGGTTAACTGACTAAGGAACATTTACTGTTAATAATCTCAAGGAAAGAAACTGAATAGCAAGCAACACTAATAGAAGTCCCCTGACCTAGCAGTTTAAGTAACTTGGGCCTGTTACTTAATATCTCTGAATTTTAGTTTTTCTTTTATTAAAAAAAAAAAAAAGGTTTCATTTGTTCCTTGCACACAGAACCTGCCACGTCGGATGGCACTGGTCTAGCAAGGGGAGGACACAAAGACTCCAATTGCAGACCTGATTGGATTCTGCCAGTACAGGGAGCCCAGTAACACAGAAATCAGAGTAGCTGCCAAAGACAGCCCTGCCCTGTCTCCCTTTCCTGCCTTTCTGGTTACAGCCAGCACTGTGGGAGCTGTGAAAAGGCCTGTGTTTAGGGCCAGATGCGAGCCTCTCTCCTTCCTCCAAGGGGCTTGCTCCCGCTGTGCTCCAGAGCTGCTCTTGGGCTCCTCCAGCCCAACAGCCCTGAAAGGCTCTTTCTGTTTGGTGAATGAGTTTGAAGCCAGGGAGGGAGGGGGAGAGACAGAGAGAGAGAGAGAGAAAGAGAATGAATCTGAGGGCACTTGACTCACACCCAGCCCCAGTGCCTAAAATATGTGGCTAAGAATCCAAGTCTAACTACCCTGTAGGGAGACGAATGACAAAGGCCCTCCTTCAGGCAGTTCCAAAGACCTGTAAAGAGGTCCTGATGCCTCTCCTGCCCTCAGCAGCCCAGGCCACTGAGCTAGCTCTAAGCGTGGTCTCTCCTACCACTTCACTTCCTCAGAGCACCCCAAAAAGGGGGAAGAGTGGGGTGTATGGTTTGGACATGGTCACCAGAGCAGCACCTGGGTAGTTTTCCATCTTGCTTCATTTACTCCATCCTTTCTTCTGGACACAGGGAGGCAGACAAGTTGTGTCTCTTGTTTGCTGATGGGAAAACTTAGGCTCTGAGATAAAGACATCCTAATGGCATTCCTCGGGCAGAGGGCACACTTGCCCTCCCCGATTTACATTCAGGATCCACACAGGAAGCCAGCTTAGCTCCTTGACTTGGAGCAGAGTCAACAGACCTTGGTCAAGGCATTCTTCTCACAGGAGCAGAGTTCAGTGAAAGTACAAATACTGACCCTGTGAGACCATAGATTCTTATGCAGGAAGGGAGGTGGAGATCAGAGACTGCAGGGCCATTTCATAGATAAGGAAACTTAAGCGGTGAAGTAACTTGCTTAGGGGTAAAGGCCAATCAGTGGCTGAACCAGGAAAAGAACACAAGTGGCCACGTGGACTCCAATTCCTGAGCCAACTGGATAGAACTGACCACCGCGTATTTGTCCCACTAGACCAGGCTTCTCAACCTCAGCGCTACTCACATTTTGGGCTGGATACTTCCTCGTTGAGGGGCACTGTTCTATGCGTTGTAGCATGTTCAGCAGCATGCCTGGCTTCTGCCCAGTAGATGCCAGTAGCACCCCTTAACCCAGTTGTGACAACCCAAAATGCCCTCAGACATTGCCAAATATCTCCTGGGGGATGGAATAGTCCGTGGTTGAGAACCACTGCGATGCAGAGCCTGTGCTTTCAGTTCAACACGCAAAGATGCACCGTGATGCACTTCCTCTTTGTAGAGCTGTTCAGGTATTAGTCTGTGAGTGTTTTGAGGGCACAGACAGGGTCCGATTCCCCTTTATGTTTCCTGTGTCTTGCAGAGTATCTGGCGGGTGACAGATATGCAATAAAGGGTTTTGAATGAACAAATGAACCAACTCCCTGGGAGACACTGAAATTTAAACTTCCCCTCCCTGGAAACCTGTATCATCTTAAACATCAGCTGGGCAGTGGCTGGCGGAGGGGCAGGAGACTGACCTTCATGACCTTCTATCGGAGGGAGGGGGGGTCTCCTCTTCATCTGCTTTGTCATCCACTGTCCTGGCTCCACAGAGGCATCTTCTCCTTGAGCTCTTTTCCTCGTGCTCCAGGCTTAATTATGTGGCTTCTTTTCCTTCTTGCAAAAAGCCCCTAAATACTGCCATTAGCAGCCATGAGAGCCACGGGAGGATTTTTGTGATGGCGTCACAAAATTTTCGCATTGGGAAAAGTCATACGTAAAGTATAAAAGGAAACATTTCTACCATGAAATCCTATCTTACTGTTTTCCTTAATCCCAGAAATTTTCACAAATGTTGTCTTTGGGCAGGTGACTAGACTCTTGTGTGTCTGTTTTCCAAACAATTAAGTGCATGAGAAGGTAGAGTTCTTTTTGGTAAACGTCCCACCCCAAAAAGTAAAAAAAGATTTCAGAGGACCTTATATGTAAAGTTATAAAATATAAGAGTCCCAGTGAATTTTAAGATTCTGGATTCTCGAAATTCACTGGAACTTTATGGTTTACTTTGGGCAGAATAAAAATGGAAGGAACGGAGAGAAAACATAAGCTGTTGGTTACATGGATCTTATAGGGGAATTAATTTAAAAAAAGATGGACAGACCTTTCCAAAGACCTTACTGGCCAATTAATTCAAATGGACAAATTGACTTGAAGGTAAATGGTGAAAGAGGACACAAACAGAAATAAGGACAGAAAGGGGAATAAAGAAAGGGCAGTGAGAGAGAAGAATGATTTTGTTAGAAGAATGATTGGGTACTATTGGCGTAATGTGATTTTACAGGTGAGTTTTGCTAAGCTGCTGAAGTGCATCCAGGACCCTCATGTCTGGCCTCACAGTGTTGGAATTTATATGATTGCTCTTCAGCCTAAATTTTAGTAGGTCAC